GCTCAGAGTCAGGGTTCCGGGGTTCAGGAGGACACGAAGTAGAAGAGAGTGTAATTCCTAGGTACAGGTGTCCAAAGGAGATTACCAGATTGCGTGAAGAACATAAAATATAAGGGGGCACACCCCCTTATATAGAAAGAAATCCTCCCCTGATCACTAATACAAGAAAAACCCCTTGGCGTCGCGCGCAGCCGTGATGTCTCCACCATGTTCCGCCAAGTTCCGTCACACGGCCCCATGTCCCAATCAAGTAGTACCAAAGGAAATCCTTCGCATAGCAACCGGAAAACCCCAACCAATATATGCAACCAAAAACCCAATACTTATTCCGTCTCCGTAACTGGGTGGCCGTGACAATGATCCAGCAGCCCTTTTGATCAGTTTTGGGCCCAACCCCCTCCTTCATTCCAATATTGGTCTTGATAGATGTAATAGTATATCACAAACTGTGAGTAAGCAAGGCAGATTTTACATAGCTTTAGATTCTGAGCTATAGGTATGTTGGGATTTCACATGACATATATTAATACGCTATAGGTTATTATGTTTACCTGTTCATGACTCACAGTTGTGAGTCACACAATATTATGATTTTCGCACATGACTCAGATTATGAGTCATGGGTTTTACTCAGGTGATGCGAGTTATACACCTGACTTGGTTATGAAGTTTTGATTGGTTTTAGGTATGTTGCACAGTGACTCGTAGGAGTCAGCTGAGGGATTTCACATGACTCATAGTTATGAGTCACAGGGTTCATATGATGCCAGGTATGAGTCACACTAGGTGAAGAGCGACTATATAAAGGGGTCATTAGAACACCAAGTATGAGCTCTTCACATGTTCTTCTAGTTGATTTCCTACACTTATTATTTTATAAGAAAACACCTTTCTGCTCTTTACTTTACTTAAACACCTAAAAACTATCTTTCCTTCCACGACTCAAGATTAAGTCCTAAGCAAGGACTTAAGAAGAAGGAAGGAATAGGTACTATATAATAGAGGTCAATAGGACTTAGCTATCCATATAGCGTAGGCAACAGCCTAGAATAGGTATTATACGATAGAGGTTAAAAGGACTTAGCTATCCATATAGTGTAGGCAATGGACTAAGAACTATTCCCTTGTCACAAGATAAGAATCGTTACCTGTTGCACTCATCCACTCAGTAGGATTCTTAACATAGTGAATGATATCATGAATTACTCTAAAATTTTTATGTAAATCCTGCTAGGAACTTAAACTCCACCTTCTCTTACTAATCCTGGGTTGGGGAAAAGAAAAACTTTCTTGGCGCTCCCTTATCTCCATAGGTGCCACCCTCCCCCTATCAAGTTCCCTTTATTCCTCTCTATAGAATTTGTATTATTTGCATCACTGTTTGGGGGATTCTAGGACTATGATAATGGTTGGAGCTCCTGCCTTCCTGCCTTCCTGCCTTCCTGGAGCATTTCAGCCCCCACAAGTAGTATTTACGGTTGCCCAAAAGCACAGTAACATCCTTCAAAAGGTGGATGCCTGGGGGGAGGTGTTTTGGGCTAGGGTGTGTGATATGGGGTTGGTTATTATCAGTCCAACATGGGTTGGCCAACCAGCGGGTTCCAGCGGCTGGTGGGTCCCAGCATGGTTGACACCTTGATGCGGTGCTTGGGCTTTGGAACTACGATCGACCATTGTAGAGTTACTAAAGGCTATGTTTTGTTTGTCTTTAGAGGTATGATCATGGGAATAGTTTCGTGGGAAGCAGGACTTGGTCTACCAAATTTCTTCTGATGGAAGTGTAGTATACCTAGTTGTGGGAATAGGGTGGCATGCTTAATAGATAAGGAGAATTGATTGACTTGTCCAAGAGGAGTTAGTTCGCTAGGCCAAATTTGACATCCATACTGTGCTTCCCTGGTCCACGCTTCAGCTCCTTAGCACCTCCTATCCCCCCATCCTCATAGTAACTTTTTTGAAGCATATAGCAAACGTGTCTTTCCACTTGATCAGGATCTTCACTCGCAGTCGTATATACCGCCATATTGAAAACACTGCGGTACTACTGGTCTAGCACCTCTATTATTGAGGAGTTATCCTTTCCTCCTCCACCTCCGACGTTTCCCGGACCCGTATTTCAAGTATCGCAAGATCTAAAGGCTAACATGTCTAGCACAAGAGGTGCATAACGGTTGGACTGGATCGATAGACGAACCGCGCATGGAAAATTATCTGAGGTATACGTACTGGGGGGAAGCTTAGATTATCATGATGTACAGCCTGAGTGTCCTCTAGTGCCCTCCTCTGGAGACTAAAAGCGGAATTACGGTACCTCATCACTTAGTGCACCGCTACATTTATGGCTTACGATATAAACGAGACTCTCTCAACGAGCCTTGGGAACCGAGTGATACCTTGTGCAGTGGGTTTATGTGTGATAGAGCAGAATCCATAGAACACGGTATCGTAGCTTGCTGGTTGTGGCGGTGTTAAGACGTACCCTCAATAGGCCCCTCCCCATATACGTTTAAATTTCCGGTAGAGTTAGGGGGTGGGGAGGAGCGAGTGCCTCGTTTCATGTGCATTAGCTTTCGATGACACCCCGTGGATTTGATCATCTCCCATCGGGCCCTCCCCGGAGGGTTTACCACCGACTGCCAAGGGTGGAGCTGCTCCTAAAACATCATATTTAATGTGGCAAGCCGTCAATAGGTACTCGAAACCTAGACCAGCAATTCGAACTACAAAGTAGTAGGCGCAATAGCAGATGGCGCAGCTGTAGAGTGAGCGAATTCACATTGCGCGAGAACCGCGCTTGGATAAAGTATGGAGGTGGATGCTTGATGGACACTGTACCTTTTTCCTGTGCAGGGTCCATTTCGGGATAGCATTTTTCGGGTTCCTACAAGCTGGGGTATACTAGATTCATGAGCTTTTGGAGCTCTCGGTTAGAATATAGCACGAGGCCTAAGAGCTTGTTACTGTCAACATCGGTTAAGTTGTCCCCACGGAATCCTAACCATACTGTATTTTTATATTGAACCCCCCCACGGTGCTTTAAAGATGATAGGGGGAAACGTGCAGCTCTATCACAGCATCCTCCCTAAAGTACTTGCTAATCAGATAGCTTAATACTGCACATTACCTCTCGAGAAACCACTCGCTAATTAAATTCATGGGGTATCACTCAATATCTATGTTGGATTTAGTGCTTATCCGCCAACCAGACTAGTTTCCTTTCATCTAGTTTCTCCTATTACTTTCCTCACCACTCTCTTTAACGTTAGCCACTGTTTGAGTTTTTCTTCATCTCTTCGTTTCTCTCGCAACTGCAAAACCATACCGTATTCAGCTGCGGTACCGGTGTTGCTTTCTTATCATCTGCGGCCCTTCCGAGGTCCTCATGTGTTGCTTGGTTGTTCGGTTTAGCATGGAAACCCATAGCTGCGCCTGTGGTAAGAAAATCAAGCTTCTTTCTCGACTGCAGTAATATCAATCTACAATCTAGGTTAAAGCAGGCGGGTGGGGTGCTGGGTGTGCTGGATTTATGGACCAGGAAAGATCTGCGATTAGTTTAGAATAGGTAATAGACAGGGACAGCGTGGGGGAAGGAGGGGGGGCACTGAGTGTAGCACGACACATTTTGGAGGAAAAAAAAAGCATATTGCCTGATCTGGGGTTGGAGAACTGTGACTTAGGGGGAGGATAATTCGCAACATGAGCCTGAACAATTTCGGGGTGGGTCCCCCCACCTCACGTGGTCGTCATGACGGATGGTGGCTCTACCCGAGTATATAATTTTGTGCTGGGTCAGCGCCCGAAGGGTCCGCACATTTTGCTATGATACGACGAATTTGTTTAGGCTAGGGCCTAGGGTAAATAATGTTCTCAACGGCTCGTGCCTGGTGGTGAACAACCTCCTACGGCGAGTTGCCCCGCCGCCCTTGGAAGTGGTAACCACTAATGTGAAAAAAATAGTACTCGCAGCGGAACTCGAGCTTGCCGTAGTTCATAAACGGTATCGTACAGCAACCCACTGGCTTCCAAACCGGGATATTGAAGAGGAAAAAAGAAGCGGAAAAAAAAGCCAGAATAGAAACAAAAAAGGTGGGGGGAGAAAGTTGGTTTTCCGGTGCGGTACTGGCTGTTAAAAGCAGATTTCCAGAAACCGCAAGAAACGGCCAGGAGTGGTTTCCCAGCGCGTTTTGCTTGTAACAGTTTCTTCAGAGGCTAGCGACAGAACGTCTCATCCTCAAAGCTAGGAAATTGGCTTCATCCCTGCACCTACATGTATACTCGAGCACCGTACTGTATGTGTCTCCCAGGGATTTATTGTGCTTAAGTCGCCTGATTGAAGTCGCTCGCGTTGTAGTGGTGACCCGCCGAAAGAAAAACTCAATCCGGCGACTTGGGTATGGTTTCCTCCTTTGTCCAGGTCTCATTCTACTCCGCAGACTTGGCCTTAAACGAGCGAAAGGCGAGAGGGCTGCACCAACTTTGCATGCCCAAGCCGGTGAACTAGCTTCTAATGAATCTCATCCGAGTGAGATTGGGTGACGGAATCTCTACTTCTCGTCCCTCTAGCCAAAACACGGCATCTAACCCCCAATCCTAAGTCCCAAGATGATTAGCGTTTCAATGTGATTACTTACTGGCTATCTGTTCAAGAAGCAATGGCTGTGGACGCGACTGCTATCATAGGGTATTATATTTATAGACTAAATTACAATTTCTCTAGTACTCCAAAAAGCGTAACTGGATACGTCAGACCTTATTTTTGGTATCGCCCTCCCCTCCCACAAAAACTAGATTGCAAATACAACACGACTTAGCACCCAAGACGGAAAACTATGTGATGGGCAATATTGCTCCCATGCGTTTACCCATCCGCCACCCTGCTCCCCCCTCTATTCTGTGGGCCCAGTATCGGAGGTGTGCACAAAGGAAGTAAATAAGACATGTAGCTTGTAAAAATGAGAGAAATTTCGGGGAACGCTAAAGAAAATATCGAAAGAAAAGCACGGGCACCAAGGCCCAGCGTTAAATTAGATTCTTAGGAGAAGGTTGAGCTCGAGTGACCTCCGCCCATCCATCCCGCCATCCTTGCGTATCCCGAACCTAAGCGGAATCAAATCTCATCAAAGTCCGGACAAACGGATTCTCATGCCCGGCCGCGGCGATGCTCGGTTTCCCATCAATATCAACCATACTTTTGCTCCCTACAGTATTTAAGTTGAGAAAGCTTAGTTTGTTTTCCCCCTCAACCGAGACAATGGAGTCCTGGCAGGTATGCGTCTTCACGCACTCCTGAGCGTAGTTCTCGAAAAACGAGTACAAGCCTGCGCCGTAGATAAGTAAGTTGGTGGAATCGATGATGCGGAGGGCCCAGGACTTGCATGTCTTCGCCGTGCAGCCAGGGTATGTGGGGTCGTTGAAAGCGGGGTTTATAGGGAAGGGCGCGGTGACCATTGGGTTGCTCTGCCAATACGGAGTCTCCGTCTGGATCATTGCCATAAATATATTCTTCGTCTCCTGCAGTTGGTACTGGTACACGACGTTGTGTTCCGCCGCGGTGCTGTAGAACCACACTGGGCCCTCAGTCGTCTCGGTTAGGATTCCACGGCCGTTGTAGATGGATATCTGTCCAAAATCCGGCCCATCGAGATTGTGGTCGCTCGTCCAGGCCCAGATGTTCTCCATGTAGAGACTGGCAGTCTTCTTGATGTGCAAGTGCATGAAAGCGCCGAAGCACGCTGGGTTAGCTGTGTTGTTCTGCTCGGGTTTCTTTGCACACTGCTCGGGCTCGAGATTAGTGCCCCGTGACCCCCCGACGCGGAAGTGCACATCCCAGAGGCCATTGACGCCTTGCTTCCCGTAAGGGTCGCGAGAGTTCCATTCCATGAGGATGGCGCCGGGTTGGGGGCCCTGGGTTTCGAAGATGAGTTCGGACATCTCGACCACGCCGGTGTCACCTTCCTGTCCCACCTTAAAGACAGGGACGGGGTTGTTGACGTCCTTAAAGGCGTCCCCATTCGCGAGAATCAGCGGCCAAACTTCTCCCACGATACGGGTGTTCATGGGCACATTGACCGTGTCGGAGATGACATATGCGCCGTGGTCGAAATAGATGACCTTCCCAGGATTACAGTCCAGGATGGATTGGATTGCAGCAGTGTCATCGGTGATTCCGTCGCCCTTTGCGCCGTTCTGCTTCACAGAGACAAACTGGGAGACGTCGAGTTCTTGGTATTGGGGACGGGAGCGCTCAAAGATGACCTTTTGTCCTTTGGCAAGGAGGGGAGCAGGCTTGGGGAATGCGCGGTTTATGTTACCCTGTACGGTAGTTCCGCCTGGGTTTCTGCTGGAATGGTCCTTCCCTTGCCCCCACATATCGATCGTGCGAGATCCGCCCGCGAGGATGGTGGCATTGGTGGCGGTGTTGGCGATAGCTTTCCCAACGTTGGTAAGCCGGACATTATCAAGGATGAGGGTTCCGCCCGAGACGAAACCGCTAGAATTACCGCGGACTGTAGCGACACCGATATGAGTATCTTCAATAGAAGAGTCGAGAAGAATGACAGAACTGACAGCCTGTTCGGCCGGTCCATTAGTAGTAATATCAAGGCCAATCTTGCAATTGTTGATGCTGACGGACTTGAACGTCCATGCCCAGTTCCAGTTCATGTAGATAGCAGTCTCGCAGTTGTTGAACGTGAGTTTCCTGGTCATGAATTGCTGGTTACCGAAGAACGCTCCAAACTTGCCTCCGTTGAAGATCAAGTCTGACATGAACCCTCCGGAACCATTATCCATGAAGATGCCCTGGTGGGAGTTTCCCTCTGCCTGGGACATCTCGAAGCGTAGGTTAATGAGCGAGGAAGCTTGCGCCACTTGCCAATGGATACCGGTACCTGCGCCAAGGGGCATCGCGGTGGTGTCGATAACCAGGTTTCTGACGGAACGGAAGAAATTGTTCTGGTTGGTGTACCAGTTGCTGTCACCGGGTCAGTCAACCCTTTAGTCGTATTCTTGTATAACGAGCGTCCGGGAAACTTGCCTTCCATCAGGCTCATAAGGGTCGGAATCGATGATACCGATTCCTTGGAAGCTCGGAGAGCCCTTTATGGTTGGCATGTTTAATGGGTCACCGACCAGCTGCGAGTAATACATTGCGATCACCGGATTGGAGACTAGGTATGTTCCAACCGGGAAGTATATAAGTGCGGGAGCGATAGTCGATGAATCGCAGCCCCTTCCACATCGTCCACCATCAGCGATGGCATTGTTGATAGCGACGGTATCATCAGTAGTTCCATCGCCTATAGTACCACAGTTAGCAAAATCTTCTCCATGACATACATCATTACACCATCATTGGGAGCGGGGAAGTTAGGGAGGATACACACCCTTGGCGCCGTAATCCTTGACGTTACGAAAGACCCTGTACCCGGTAGGGTTCGCATTGAAAGCGGGAGCGCCACGATGAGTGATCTCTGACAACCAGAAGGTCCCAGCAGTGGACTCGGTTCCATTCCCAGCGCGGGTAGTTAGGTACACGTCTAGGCCGCGCAAGTCGCGGACTTCTCTCTCGGGTTCCTGTCGTCTGAGATTACGGCGGTGAGCAGACCACGCCGAAGTAAGAGGTAATATAAATAATAGTGCGGAAACAAGCTTGGTCTGTGTACCTCATCATAATCAATGTTAGTTGTTTCCGGTGTCTAAAAACCAAGGAAGAGAAAATGTTGGAAGAAGCCGCCTACCAGTGAGCTCCCTGAACCGGTCATCTTGATAAGGTGCGAATGACTACTTTGAAGAGCTGTTGGACACTTGGTAGAACAGAGAGGTTCGATATCCCCCAAAATTTTGAGGGTCTCAGTGGGGTTACAGGAGATTAAATCTGTGGGTATAGTATAAAAATTGACAAGAACTGGCGAAAAGGACGAATAAAAAGTGTGATTAGAGAAGAAACTGAAAAACCTGAATCCAAGAGGTATTCCTTCCGCATAAGGCGGGCGAGGGCAGCGTGAATGTGGTCCGAAGTTATGATTGAGAGAAGAGAAATAGAAAGAAAGGGGACATGAGAGAGTCTATAAGTCCAGTAATGACTGGGTAAATCTTGAGGAGCGTGGACGGCCTGGAAGTTGGCGGAAGATGTGACGATACAGATACAATGGGGGTGGAGGGGTGGTAAGGGACAAGCGGAGAGGGGAAGGGGAACGGGTAAGTGTAGGGGCATGGAGCGAATGTAGTTAATGGGAGCTATCAGAGGTCCCCACTACAGCACAATGGTATTAGTAGGGGGCCCACATGGAGCAGGGGGACTTGCGAAGGTTTCTCCTTGTCTTTGACGGAACCAGAGTGCGAAACACCCCGTGCACCGCAACTCCGAAAAAATGGGAGGGGTCTGGTTCAGGACTTTGGTGAGGAATTTTGGTGCGTTCCCATCATCCCGGGCTGCGGGGGGGGTGGGTACCGGTGGGTACCGTAATAGCTTGGCATTCCTTCCTCCATTAGCCGAAAACTTAGATCATCCTATCATAACTCAATTTCTTTAGCATGTACCTAGCTGTGGGAGTTCCGGGTTCAGTGGAAGTTATTCCCAAGGCCAGTTCTCCCCTCACGGTTGCCTCGCAGCCTCAGTCCCTTCCGATGGTGATGATGATACTGTACCGGTGAGAGCATTCTTTTCAACAGCTTGGTAGACCGGATAGTCCGATGAAATTCGGGTGTACCCCTCTTCCAAAGCTCTCCCGTCTACCACAAGATTGTCCGGGCCAGCCATGAAAAGAGGACTGGGAATGAACACACAACGCCTGCACCGTCCTGGGCAATCCAAAAACCTCACTGAGGAAACGAAATAATAATAATACCAAAAGGTTGCAACTGTAGGGTCACCACCGGTGCAAGGGCTATGATCTCGGGGAACAATCCCTAACGGGAATGCGCCCTCGTTCCTCTCCCCGGGAATTCCGCCGGCGGAAACTGATCTGGATTGGGTGGAATTGCACTTGATATGAGTACGACGAGTATGGTGGTCGCAGAAAGCTCGTACTCGTATCTGAGAATAAGTATCTGAAAATACGGCCTATGTTAGACAAACACCCGACTAACAAAAACAACGGTGTCTCCTTTCAGGTGCTTTACTGTACGCCCGGTACGAGTGCTGTACTCGTACTGCTCGGGCACCGGTGGATAAACACGCTTGGTCCTGTTGTCCCTGTTGGTAAAGGTGGATAGGATCTGCGGCGCCCCCCACCAACTCGCTTCTCCCTTTTTCGGTGCGAAAAGCAACCGTACTCGAGTACCGTACAGTACCGGCAGTCTACTCGAGTATCCTGCACGGATACCAGGGTGGGCGTGCTCCCCGAACATTCCCGCTGAGCGGCCCTTCCAGACCCCTTCGCTCGTTTTCAGGCACAACGCTAGCTCCCGGGGTACATGAACCTTAAAGATTTCTTGCCACCCCTATCATCCTTAGTAAGCTGTGCTGTTGTTGATTACTAGAAATTCGCAGGTGTGCACACTTTAGGATGCCCGTTACTACAAGTACAGTACTTAGGGTACACGAGAACAAACGAGAACTACAGTAGTAGCCCAAAGTGTATGCTCTTAGGGGATGAGAGGGGTGGTGAGATTTCCTGAATTTCAGAAGCCCGGGAGATAATGGTTGCAACCAGCTCTCCCACACTGCCATCAGAGGAGGGCTTTCTGCACTAACTGAAATTACTAGTCGAGTAAAGGCGAGTGAAATTCGAGTACGAACGAAGGGAAATGCACCCAAGCCTATCGATCGCATATCGAAAGAAATTACAGGAACGCGTTGACAACCTTTTATTTGCTGGAATGGATATCCTGAGAGCCTGTAGGGTATTATAGTTTGACCAATACTACGGTACTCCACGTATTAACCCGGCCACCCGAATACCTATGGTAATAGAGAGTTTGCGCAGGTAGACCTAGGTGGGAGTTATTAACGATGTCACTAGGGGTTGCCACTCGCACCAACAGCCCATCAAACTCCCGACAATTTTTGAGTTTCTTAAATTTCATGTATTTGAGAGGCCAATCCATCCGCTAATTCTTAACTTTCATGAAGTTTCTCTTCTCAGGATTGTCTTTGAGAAGAATAGCTACAAAATCATACCTGAACAGAGGCATAAAAGTGCAGTTCAAGTGGGCATTTGTGGTCCTCAATTCCAGGTCCGATTTTCGGGTTTTTACACCTTGACCAGGTGGGACCAAAGAACCAGGTGGCCAAGCCTTGTTGTTAACTTGTATTAACACCACCTAGGTCTCACTGCGCAAACTCTCTAATGTCTCAAAACCGGGGTGGTTCTCCATCCCAAACCACTGCCGAGAGGTCAGATCGCGTCATAGCGCCACTCCACAAAGCAGCTACGAGTTCTGTAGGGTACATCACAAAGGATCCACAGCCGCCACCAAGTAACCGAGTACCGGTAGGTATTTGCAGTGTTGCTCGCGACTGGTGACAGGTAAGTGACACCATCATGTCACTGACAGGGGGTCATTAATATTCTAGTTCTCAATCAATATCCTTTCCTCCCCGTTCCTACCTTCCTCCGGTCGTTCAATAGCCAATGCGGCCTCCTCCCCCCCCCTCCATACTCTCTACTCCACCTACATGAAACAGCCTCTTCGCTGTAGAGCGTATCACGACCAAGCACATCATACTTTCACTTTACAGTTTTATGCATCTAACAATATTATCATGCCTGTTTGAAATATATGGTACGGCGGGGTTTTGATAAGTGTGCATCAAAATACGAGGTGGGATAAAGTGTATATTGCAGGAACACTAGGCAAGGAGGACATACGGAGATACGGCTCTTAAGTTTCGTAAAGTACTAGGCCAAAAGGATCCGTACGATGGGTGGTTACCGCACGACACCTCAAAACACCCCACTCCTACAATCAACCACCCCTCAACCACGATGCCTCCACATAAGACAGGCTACCTTACAGAGTTTGAGAAAGGGCAAATAGTTGCTCTGAGAAAAAAAAAAATCTCTTTTGGAGAGATTGGAGAGCTCTTAAACCGTCCAAAGAGTACTGTTCAAACTTTCCATGACCGCTTCCAAAAGAGGGGTGATGCAAAAAACCTCCTTATACCTGGAAGACCCAAAATTATTGATTCCAGAACCCAACGCCGCCTAGTCAGAGAGTCTAAGAAGGCATGCCGCCAGACTTTATCAGAATTGCGCAATGATGTTGCACCATATTCCTCCCTCCAAACAGTCAAGAGAGCTTTAGCCTCAGTCAACATAAAGAAATGGAGAGCTAGGAAAAGAGCTCTTCTGAAGGATGAGCATGCTGTTAAGAGGTTAGCTTGGGCAATGAAGTATAAGGATTAGACAAAGGAAGACTTTGAAGAAGTCATCTTTAGTGATGAATCCTTGGTTGAAAAGTCTAAGAATCCTAAGAGTATATGGGTGTTCAGAACACCTGAAGAAAAGTGGCACAAAGACTGTATTCATGGAGTTACCAAGGGGCCAGGGATAAAGCTGATGGTGTGGGCTTGTATTTGGGGCAGAATAAGGGTCCTCTGATTCCTATTTTTGACAAGAGTGTGGATAGATTTGTATATATTGGAGTTTTGGAGGATGGTTTAGTTGATGTCTGGCAGGAGGTGGAGGATACAGTTGGGGATCCTATCTTTCAGCAGGATGGTGCAAGGATACATACTGCAAGAGATACCATGACTTGGTTTGAGGAAAACAACATACAGGTTATGGAATGGCCAGCCAATTCTCCTGACCTCAATCCTATTGAGCACTGTTGGAAGAGGATGAAGGAAAAGCTACACCAGCACTTTCCCAACATCTACAAGACCAAGGGGGGCCCAGAAACTGTTAGAAAACATCTAGCAGTAGCTCTAAATCAGGTTTGGACTCAGGATATTGAAGGGGATTTTCTGGAAAGGTTGTGGGAGTCTATGCCTAGTAGAGTTGCTGCTGTCATAGATGCAAGGGGATGGTATACCAAGTATTGATTTTTTTGTTTTCTAATTTTACATATAGCTTTTCTTATATTTATTGTATGTCTACAAATATTTTCAGTTTATTTCAAGTAGTTGTGGTTGTAGGGGTAGTAAATTTATAGTGGTAGTGGGGTTGCCGTTGCGTTGCCGGACGGTTCTTTTTGTACCCGTACTTTATGTTCCACAAGCAAGGATGTTCGGCTGGCGGGGGGGACCTAACGTGAATTGGGAAAGCTTGAGAATGGGATAGGAAATTTTCACTGGAAATTGACCGTTTCGCTGCCAATACCCTCGCTAGCCCAGCACCCCTTGTTTATAGAACATGCAGAACTTAGGAGCTGTACCCCCGTAGTATGAATGCAGATTGGTAGATATTCTTGTCCCTAATCCATCCCACACAAGACATGTAATGTGTTCACACCGGGGCACTAGTCACGTCATCGAGTACAATAGGAGTAGAATGCTAATCTTACCAGAGAGTAGCAATTCAAGGCTCACTAAGGAAGGCTTCAGTGGTGTATTAGGAAAATAAAGATAACTGTTCAACAGAGTATATTAGAATACTATTTGTCAAAGTCTGCCATATCCAGAGTGGAAGATGGCAGTCTTTTTAAGTACATGTGTTTGAGTACAATCATGAATTCTTACTCATGTTCTTACTCAATCAAACTGTAAAAATAACCAAGTATCAACTGATACTTAAAACAAAAACATAAAACAACCTAAGTATCAACCGATACTTGAAACAAAACATAAAACAAACTAAGTATCAACCGATACTTAAAACAAAACATAAAGCAAACTAAGTATCAACCGATATTTAAAACAAAACATAAAACAATCTAAGTATCAACCGATACTTAAAACAAAACATAAAACAAACTAAATAACTGAGGACCAGCTCCAGTTACAGTCTAGGTCAGAGGGCCTCATTGTTTAAGATTAATCCGTCCGATTAGTATGCGGTCAAGGAGCGAGGTTCAAGAAGTATTGCCGATATCAAGTTGGCCTTGGTAATTATCCAGTATCCCAGCGGAGGTCTAAGTCACAGGGCCTTGGGGGCTTAAGGTTCTTCTATCTTACTAGGAGACAGCCAAAAGGCAAGGGTCAAGGAAGGTCATTGGTATGGTATCAGGGAATAGCAAAGCTCATTGCTAAATACAATATTGTTAAGCGATTCGTAAAGGTCAGAGGCCTCAAGTCATATGGGTGTCTGTTCCATGAATAGTGAAAGAATCAAGACCACAACAGTCTCGTCAAGTGTACTGGGGTTCAGGAGGAAATCTGCCATCAAGGCAAGTAACCAAGAGCAAGCCGACATAATGGAAGACCAGGGGCACAACAGGTTCAGGTAGAAGAACTGT